ACCGTAATATAGCTTCATCGTGGCTCTACCATATAATATAGAGTACCTTTATAAGTTTCAAGTTAGTCGCCCCATAATTTACTATATATATATATATATTATATTATATATATATATATATATATATATATATATATATATATATATATATATATATATGTGTGTATTAGCAAGTACGATTAAATATTATCTGCCGCCTTACACATACTACATAGTAACTTAACTTTGCTTTATTATGCCAGCAGTGGACTGCTGTAAGGAGTTTTGAATAATTAGTTTCTGCACCTTCTAAGTAGGTTTTGAGTTTAGCTCAAATAGGGCCTCAATTTCATTTTTGCCCCGGGGCCCATGGATGCATAATATGCACATGCCACTGTACTAGGGACTAAAGTTTTTAAGTTGTTTGGCATTTTTGTAATTCACTAAAAGAACTAAAGACACAGTTACAATCTTCATCTACACAAACATTAATTATCCCAGGACGCTGATTAAAAAGTGGATAAATAACAGCAGAATCAAATAAATCGTAAATTATTGCTGGTACACTCACTCACGCATAGGGTAAAGGTACTCAAAAACGAATGAAAAGCTTTCTATTATGACCACAGACAATTTAATTAACCTTGTCCGCATGTCACTAACTGCAAATTCGTTTATTGACAAAATTGTTGATTTGCATGAAATAATAATGTATGTAGTATATTTTGACCATCGTCTGTTGGGTACTTGTTTAAGTTTTGTTTTGAAGTTTGATTTCAATTATTTATGTATGCACGTGGTATGCGCGTGGTATACGTTTGATAAGTATGGTCTAAACTATTTCATAACTATTCGTTTCATTTCTATTCAGTAATTCAATTAATTAATCGTGCATTAGTTATAAATTAAAAATAAATAATAACAGATTATTATCCACCATTACTATCAACGTCAACATATTATCTGATTTTTTTAAGTGACAGAATGACTAGAAATTTAAAGGAATTATTACATTGATTCTAAAATTATATTGCATTTGAGACTTATTCCATTTAATTTTCCTCCTTTTATAAATTAAATCTGCACATACCTATAGTCTTTGCGTTGTATCGTGGTGCGATTGACAGCTCACGTCTATGAAGTTTCGTATTTTTTTAGATAAACTGTCATACAGATATTGTTGTACTTCATCGATGGGTACCGCCCACTTACGAGAGTGATGTGGCACGCTAAAATATGCCATGTCGTAACGAACAACCACGGACTATCAAGAATCAATTTTGAAATAAATCTACTATATACAAATCACGTAAATATTTATTGAAACTTGAACTTATCGTTCAACAAATTCTGATTTACAGAAAAAATGCACATAGACGAATATGCAGTGTTTCCAATACTGGACGATAAATTATTCGTTGGTCAGCTTAGGCAAAAAGAATAATTTTAAATGTGTCAAAATACTTGGCTACAAAAACCTATTTTGTTTTTATTAATTGATTTTAAAACCAAATTCTCGATCATTTTTACCTTCCGTCCCGATATTTAGCCCATCGGATCTGGCAACACATATAGAGAAAGGCGCTAGTACGCGTACCTTGAAAAGCTACCGGTGCAGTCAACGCCGTACTGAAAATTACTGATGCTGGCAGCCATTTTATTTGTTTAAATGTCAGTATGAATGTTGCAATTAACATGAAATGATGATTTTTATTTTCAAATTAATACATAAGTATTTATACATTAAAGTGTCTGTTTGTAATTTAAAAATACCAGCCTTTTACTAAATGCCTATGAAAGTTTGTACTGTATTTATAACAAAAGACAAACACAATTTTTAAAAATTGTCTGTCTGTTTGTTCCAGCTTATAGTTGACACTAGCAGATAGCTGATGTTATAAAGAGTAACAGAGGCTACTTTTATTTTAGAAAATGAATTAGGATTCCGCGCAAAAAATATTATAGTTAATGTAAGTTTATCAAAGAGAGACTTCCATTTATTTCTAATGAAATATTTGCTATACAGTTCTTTTTCATAAAGGTTATATGCAAAGTACCAACAGGCTGTATTTTAATAATTAATTTGAATACTTAAATTACCTATGTTATATTATAAAAAGGTTGTTAACTTTCTTGACTTTGTACGTTTAATTGTCACTTTAATTAAATATCACTTGATCTAATTTAATAGAAATCATTAAACGGGTTCTTACTTTTGTTATTCAAAAAAAAAAATGTTTTCTCGTGAACCAAAAGTCATTTCTATTTCCAAATAATTTATATTATATCAAATGCGGTCTTTGTATTTTAAGTATTTTACTCGTATATTTAAATTTGCTTACTTCATATTTATAAAACATTTGATTTAATATTTATTGAAGATCGATCTTTTTGAATGCACTTTTTTAATTTTTTATAATAATGGCAATCGAATAAGACTTGAACAAATTACAGATGATCTAGAAATTTCAGACATTTATTTTTGTAATAAAATAAATTAATACCCTTATTCGCGCAAAATATAATGTAATAATGAAATATAATTCGTATAATTGTGTAGTACACTACTTTAACAACAACTTTTACTAAGATCGAATACAGGACTTCTGGTTCAAGGTTTAATGTTATTAGATTTTTATAGCGCATATCAAGTCCCCCAACTCTTCACAGATTGCCACAAAGCACGGCCTTGAGCCTCCTGTGTCCTAATAGGGTCGCTATGCACCGCGTTTTTTAAGTATAGAGGAGTTACTTCATGATCGAAATGTATTTTTAAAGCCAGATTTTATTCTTTTTGTCATTTAATTTTGTTGGATACGGAATTCGATTGAAATACGCTATTACTGAGGCAAACCACGAGAGTTCACCCTGCAGAGAAAATTTAAGTTTCTTCATACAGCCAGCAGTCAAGCAACTTATAAATCATCGCTGTTAAAAAGACTGTTAGTAATATTGATTAGGTTCTGGTAACATAAACTAAATTGTTTAATGTGGTAGGACTATACTACAACTTTGTTATAGTGAAACTACGAATAGGTTGGCTCGACTGAGGTAGAAATACCTCCTCACAAAATATCATCATGTATACAGTTTATTGCTGCTGTTTCTTATAGTTGGTGCAGAGGTACGGAGACCTTTTTTACTATTTTAGAGGCATTCTATTTTAGTCCTTAGGAGTGCAAACAGAGCTGCATTTTGTTTCTTAATCGAGGGTAGACCATATCATCACATGGACTGTGTACTCGCGTGTCATCCTTATTCTATCAAAAATTATGTTTGTATAGAATGTGGGTGACAAACGAGTACACAGTCCACCTGATGGTGGGTGGATGCTGTGGCCCTTAGACATCTACATTTATCCTCGATTAAGAATCAAAAAGCAGATGCGTTGTCATCCCTAAGGACTAAGGAATAAGACTCCCCTAACGACCCATTCGTGCTACAACTATAATATAGCTGCGGCGTGGCTCTACCACGTATGAAGTATAATACATTTAGTATTCATTTGCTATCATAACATACACATTGTTAAGACTGAAAGTATATTATATAACATAATATATTGTGTAAAGTATGGTAAGAAACAATGAAATAATTTCCCTATCGAAAATAAATACACATAAAGGTCTCGATCCACTACAGCGACTCATATGAACGTATCAGGTACTATAAACACACATAAAAGCTAAATAGAACTTTTGACAGTGACGCATCCATACAATTTGCGACAATGATCTGAAGCGATAATAGCCTAATGGTAGGGTGAGGAGCGGATTGCGAACTAAATGGAATAAAAAGCACTGAATGTTATTATTTTGGGCTACGGTGCGAATACGCGGTTACGACGCGTTTGATGCACAGAGCGGTTTGGTAATGACGCGTGCATGAATATTGAATATTTGAATTCGCTGCCTACGTATTGTCTCTACGGTATTGGTCAGTGACGAAACGGTCTAGTGGTTTCATATTATATATATATATATATATATATATATATATATATATATATATATATATATATGTATATCTGTAAAGAATATTTTTGCATGTGCCGAAACGATTACGGTCCAGGTTAGTAACGCTGTCACTATGGAACCCTTTAGTGTTTAATTATATTGATCGCCATATTTGTCAAATAAATATTGTGATTACGATACAAACCTATGTTTAGTATACAAATGCTTACATTTTGTTTTCATTGTAGGCATTATATACGTGGTAGAACCATGCTGCAGTTATATTAGTAGTATAGTTGTAGCACGAATGGATCGGCTCGACCGGGGAAGGACCACGCTCTCACAGAAGACCAGCGTAAAATAGTAGCGTAATAAACGTAAAAAAAGTAAAGTGTTTCGTATGGTGAGTGTTTAGAACCGGAGACCCTTTTTACTGGAAAAGAGGCATTCCATCTTAGTCCTCACGGGTGACAACGCATCTGCATTTTGATTCGTAATCGAGGATAGATGTAGATGTCTATGGGCCACAGCAACCACTTACCATCAGGTGGACTGTGTGCTCGTTTGTCACCCTGTCCTATAAAAAAAATATTCCCGTAACCTTTTAAAAATATGTTCAATGATATTCAAACGATATCTCGTCCTCTGAGGTACCTGTTTATTTTAAAGGTTCTTAAAAATAACATCTGTTTTGTTTATAAGCGCGTACGATATTTAGAAATTTCTCTATACAGTAGAAATTAACAATAAAATTGTGTACAAATAAAATTACAAAGATATTTGAACAGTAGTCTTTGAATGATTATTATATTTCATTATGAATAAACTTATTGTTTCCGAAAAAGTAGCTCTTGGGAGTACAATAATTAGAAACATAAGCGGCTTTCCAAATATTATATAAATATAAAATAGAACATGTATTCTAAAAATGTTTGCTATTAATTTCTTTACTATTTATTTAGGGATTTTAAGTCTACTTCTATTGGTTTTCACGTCGTAACTCACGTCTGCCCTTCTATTTGATAATTTTAAATGAGTAATTATAACTGATTTGTTCTATTTTAGACTGGACTAGGACCCGAGCCGCACGCGACCCCCACCGGCAGTGCGCCTACAACACCGCAAGAGTCGAGGGTTGACGTGCCACAGCCGAGGCCTTTGCCGATGCCGGAGTACGGTGGATATTTCGCACTGCTCACCGAATATTTGCCTGACAGTAGCCAGCCTATATCAGGCTTCCACAGGTAGGTACATTCCTTTCTTTACTTCTCTAACCGAATTATTAAATTGCATATTTAAAAATAAGATATAACAGCGGACTTGTGAAGAGTCAAGGTATAGTGGCCGTCACACTAAATTATAATAGGTTTTGACGTATTTGTAAAGTTTTAATTTAGGTTTTCTGAAATTCTTTCAACGATATTCGGTTGGCCGAGACAAAACTGGTGTCTGTGCAAAGTTTGGGGATGTTTTGTTTGATGCTACCAAATTACGCTTAGACGAGTGTTGAACTTAGTAGTTTAGTCGAGGTCTTCAAATATGACTTGTGCATGAATTAATCGATTACATTCGTTTTTATGTAAATTTAGTTATATATATATATATATATATATATATATATATATATACGTATATATATATATATATAATTTAATACATAAAGAAGGACCAGGGGCTTTTCAGAAGTTGCAACCTCGCACCGGTAGGCGAAGTCTAGGGCGATGGAGTGACTACCTGGTAGGACATGCAGGAAGTCGATGAATGTAGGTAGCTAAAGACCGTGCTTTGTGGCATTCCTTGGGAAGCTGTAATGATGATGTTGAAGAAGTATAAGAAAAAATATTTCGAAGGCTTGTGAAGTCTGCCAAAATGCATTGAGACAGCGCACGCTAACTTCAAAATTTTACCAGCCCTGTGCCTAGCCCCAGCCGCGAGTAAAGACTGAAACTTAACTTTTTACTTTACTTATCCCTTATGTCTCTACAATAAAACTCTACATCAAGTAAAACTTTATGAAGGGAACTTGCCATTATGAATTCCATTACTTTATACCTTACTCAATTTACCTCAGTTAACCAGGGTAAGATCATAATTATAAATTATTACGAAAAATTAAACCTAATATCCTCCAAACTAAACTTCCATCTTTGTATCAACGTAATTATACCATCCCGTCGTAAAAAAAAATCTAGTGTTGAAAACCGATATTATAAAAAAATATTTTCTAAATGACTCACAAAAGCGACTGGGGACGCATGTAATCTCATTAACAGTAATACCTTTTCAATGACCACGGAAATCACTAATAATAAATTCTCGGTGCTTGATTATTTTTTAATTTATTTCACAATTCAGTGCTGGTTCCCTTTGAACCTCTGTGTATAATACTCAAATAATACTTTGTAATCTCTCTGTGGGACTGTATTCATACTTTTAATACATTTGAGTGCAACCACGCCACAGCTGCTGTAATGAGTTTATTCATTTTCATTGCATCTCTCATGATATTAATTTATTTTACATTCTAGCTATTCTGCTGTTTCTAACAATTACGATGTTGCCAAGGGCTGTGAAATCTAAAGAGAAAAAACTATTGCGTTTTCTTAGTTATAATTTATTTTTAAACATATTGATAATATGTTTATATGTAGTTCTAATTTAAATAAATTTATAATGTATTTTTTCGTATGGGACACATATTATGTAGAAAAACCTATGGACAAACATGGTATTTGCAAGGCCCTTTAATAAAAAAGGCAGACTTTGTGATCAACCAATATATAGAGAAAGTGTGAGCTTAGAAACTTAGTAAATAAAGTTACAACAATTTTGCAATGTATAAAATAAAATCTAGTAAAATACATAGTTTCTATAGAAGTCGCTATGATGAGTAGTCTTAAAAAAATTATTAATAAAAAAGTACAAGGCGACTGGAAAGAACAGAAAGCAATAATTTCACATTCTGAAGTCGATCCTAGAACATTTTATTGTATGACGAATTGGAGCGCCAACTTTAGAAGGTGACGTTATATTATTAGGGAAGATTCTGCTGCAAGAATCTCCTGATTTGTTTCACTTTCAATCGGGGATAAATGTAAATATCTGTAGGTAATTCGAAACACAGTAGCCCTAAGCTGCTATTTAACGCTATTATTCTTTGAGAGCGTGGTCCTTCCCCGATCGAGCCGACCCATTCGTGCTACAACCATAATATAGCTGCAGCGTGTTTTGACTCTACCACGTATAATTATTACCCTTTTAACAGGACTAAGGAATATCACAATCTCGATTTCGTCTAAATTCCATTGTTAACTTCATCTCCTTTTTAAAATAAATAAATAAATTTATTGAGAAATAAAGCCTTAAACCTAACAGAATGCTGTTGTAGATAAATTGTAACAAGATGGCTGACTTAATATTCCTAGAGCACAGATTACCTCCTAATAGATTCCGCAACAGGGCCACACACGCGCGCAAACATACTTGCTGTAGCTAGCATATGAAGTGACGCTAAGAATCACGATATCATTGTCGACCAAGTTTGTGACCCGTAGGCACGTCCGAGTTTTTGAAAATTTAAAAATAATTTTGGTATCCAAAATACATTACAAATGGCATCCTATGCAGTGAAATGGTGTAGCAAGTCAGCTAACACATCCAGTTATCAAAAAGATGGCATACTATTTCATCGGTAAGTAAGTTTTATTCTTATCACGTTAACCTATTTCAAATGCACCGGAGTTCAACTTACACTGGATATATAAAATTGCAAAGTGATATCTTTTGAGCACCCGTTGATGTCTTTTTGAAATGTCCCTTTCACTTATTACGTAAATTAAAATAGTTGTCTTTGTCTAACGACAGCACGTGTATCGATAGTGTTGTGATTTATGAGTCGATATTTGTTTATCGTGTACTTTTTTTTGTAGTCATCATTTTATACAAATAGTGGCGTATAATTGTCCTACCTATATGTTATAGGTTTCCTAAATGCCCCGAAAGGAAAAGATGTGGATCGACGCTACATGTCGAGGGCACCAATGGTTTTCCACCAAAAATAGTGTGCTATGCTCAAGACACTCCACAGAAGACAATCTTCATATTACGAAAAACCGTAGAAGGCTGTTGGATTCCGCTATACCATCTCTATACTTGCCAATTTTAGTATGGACTTTTACATTTTTTAAAAAGTATAATACCAATGGTGATTACACAATAAGTAATAGCATTAAGTGGTTGATTGAAACGTGATATTCTAATAATTAGGCGAATGTTACACGTCGAAATTAAACTATTTTTAACGGATTTATAAATCATAGAACAAGTGAAAGTTATAATGTGATTAATGTTATTCTAGTGTTACATGAACTTCAGTAATATCCTATTATTATTATTATTAAGTACATCTAAATTTGAAACACGTACCATATGGTTTTTTAATTAATAATACTACTTTTAGGTGCAACACTAGGAAAAAGATACTGTCACCACCGAAAGGACATACCAGAACACACACAGAGGATTCACATCATTTTGTTAGTGAGATAAAAGACCTACATCTCGCTGACAATGAAACTGTACTCAGTTTTGGTGTTCAGTCACTATTCACATGCCTACCTATAGAAGACTGCTTCTCAATTGTAACTAGGAAGCTACAAGATAACAACATGCCTGAGAATATGCAGTATTACAATTCACATCTGGCTATCTATTGTAGAAGGAAGAGTTCTACAAGCAAGTTGATGGTGTGGCGATGGGCTCACCTGTATTTCCTATAGTCGCCGACATATATCATGGAGGACTTTGAGGAGAAACCCTTCCTACTGCTCCTATAAATCCAAGATTCTACAAGCGGTACGTAGACGACACTCAAAATACGAAAGAAGATTTTAGACTATAAGCTTCAAAATACAAGTCACGATGGATTTAGAAGCAAATAATACTTTAGCTTTCCCAGATGTTTTAGTCATCCGAAATCCTGATAACACTATTGGTCATACTATGTATAGGAAAAAGGCCTATACCAACTGATATTTATATGGTGAATCTCACCATCATTCTTCGTAGTTTGCTACTGTGGGTAAATATTTGTTTCAGAGATCAAGGGACGACGATCTGACCGCCGAGCTTCAGCATGTCAAGCAAGTATTGCAAGACAACAAGTTTTAGGTCCCAAGCCTACGTCACAGCGATGGAGTGAAGCCGGCCACAGTCGGTGGATGGGTGCTGCCATCTGCTTGGGATCCTATAATTAACAAAATCTATCCAAAACCAAGCATACCACTGCAAGATTTGAAGATACTGTAAGCTCGTTTAATGTAGATTGGGACCAAAAATCAATATTCAAAAACTGAAGATAGCTGGGCTAACTATGATATTGAGACTTTATTGTGTCAAACATCTCAGTTCCCCCCCCCCCGTGACCACAAGTTAATTAAACACCGTAAAATCCATATAATTATATAGTTTTATTCATGTGTAGTATATATATATATATATTTCTTTTATTTATATACCCTGTTTTATTTTTTAATAAATTTCAAATAAAAATTGATCAATTCATTTATTTATCAATAATCAATAAATCCCAGATTTATCGATCAATGTCCCAACCCTGTCCCATCACTATGATTCGGAGCATTCTAAGTTCAACCTTGAATTATCCAATCACAGCGCATTTGACACGTCCCCCGCAACGTGAAATTTGGTGAAATCGAAACAGAACAAATATTCCATGATGCCGTATCTATTAGGAGGTAATCTGTGTCCTAGAGGTACTGGTTTTGCCGCCCATAGGCGTGGAAATTTTCCCCTCATATACGAGACCATGTCTGAAGTTTTAGTATTCTTAAATACCTATAGTTCATTTAATGAAAAATAATCATGAAAATCGTTATAAATAAAACATATAGTCTAATTGTTAACTTCCTCTTTTTTAAGTCGACATAAAGGTAATGTTATTATATGATAACTATAAATGGCTAGAAGAATCGACACCCGATGGAGAAAAAGGTTCTTAAGTGGCAGCCCCGTACCGATAGGCGAAGTATAGGGCGGCCCTCACTTGAACGTGTGACGACCTGGTAAGACATGCAGGAAGTCGATGGATGCAGGTGGCCGTACTTTCCTTGGGGGGGCGTATGTTCAGCAGTGGACTTGTGAATGACTGTAAAATGATAATGATAATGAATAGCTTTTAATATTAATAATGTAATTGGTCACAACTAAGATTAGCCATCTGTGCAGGAGTTTATAGTGATGCACTCTCTATTCCCTCTCTGTCTGTCTAGTCTGATACGGTTATAATAAATACCAGAGGTAATTCGACACGACTAGAGAGTTCAGGTGCAGGACCAACAGCGTTATGTGCTTTCCGAAGCACAGAGGGTGAAACCTAAAAAAACCTGATAACCGATTTTGACCCGACCCAAGATTCTAAACCCGTGACCTCATGTTAATCAGTCGCGTTTACGGCTACTAGAATATAAAAAGGCAGTCGAGTCTTTTAAAATAATTTTTATTATATATGCCATTAGTATACATTTTAACGCTATTTCATCTTCTTCTTTTTTTTTCAAAGCTTATTCTAATCCATCGGTAACGATTTGTTTCTTCTTAGTGTGTTTTACTAATTATCTAATAGATCATTTGATAGTACACGGGTTCTTCAGCTCATCGTCACCGCAACCGACGTCGATCATGGAAGGTCATAGGTTCGTGGTCAAGAACTAAGATGAAACGCCTGACAGCTTGTAAGCCCACCATCTTTATCGTCAAACCCGAACACAACAGCAGTGCACCCAACTGTCTTTTGACAGAAAATAATACGCCATTTAGACAGAATACTAGGTATAAGGGCAGCCCTAAAATTAAATCCATTATGTTATGCCGGCGCCCTAATTAGTTGCTAGCTTTGAAGATTATATTGATTGATTCGGAAATGTAATAAGCTATCACTTTCTTTCATTTTGTTAATTAGTCTAGTATCTTTCCATTGCATCTCTTTTACAGTCAATTACGAAAAAATTTGTATTTTTTCGTAATTGACTGTAAAAGAGCACAGCACAATGTAATCTATCACCGGTATATTATAGTTTTTGCACAAGTATTAACCATGCAATTTAGCAAGTTCTTGAGTAATTAGGCTATTCTGATGGTGATGGTAATGATAATTTTTAGCCCAGTTTCCAACCACAGACACGTACAGTCGAGTACGTGGAATAGTCAGATACTGTTAACGTCATCAGGTATTATAGTAAGTACAAAAGTTTACGTGCAAACATCAAGGCGCACACTTGCTCTCACGTGCTGGTGTCAGATCTAATGCCAATGCGACAAGATTGAAAGCAGACTAGGATTCTTTTTATAGAGGTAAGAGCAACAAACGAGCACCCAGTCCACCTGAGTCATTACCAGAATTCCCCACAGATACTTACATTTATCCTCGATTGAAAGTCAAACAAATCAGGAGATGGGCAGCAGCTTCTTCCTAATAGCCACTAAAGATAAAGAACTGCGGTTGCCGATCCGCTTGCCGAGTGTAACATACTATTGCAAATATGGGAGATATTTGCAATAGTTAAATAATTATTAAATAGTGATTGGCTGTAACCGTAAAAGTACGCCCATCAAGGAGAGACGAGTACGCTTTCTAAGGCCTTAAAATTTGAACCTTCAAGCGCCATAAAATCCCATGCAGTCGCATGCGCCCGGCAAATCCCAAGTGGTCGCATGCGACCGCACCCACCCACAGCACTTAAAACCATTAAAACTTTTAGAGACTACTTTTCTATGAAGAAGTTTAGCATTATAATATCTATACAAAATTCTCTATCCTGTGCTCTAAACAAAAGTCAGGTTTTACTTCATTACAAAAAGATTTTATTGTATTTTGATAACAAAAAAAAATATATACCAAGCAAATGTCGGCAGCGTGAAAAGCACAATTATTTCAATATATATTACTCGAAATTATTTACGTATAAAGATAAATTATATTCACACGAAAACTTTCATTACAATTTTATGACGAAACACTATACTTAAACACTAATAAAACACTAGAAAAATCCAAAAATCAACACAATAATAACATTCACGCGAAAATGGCGTATGAAATGAACGTAGATTATAAATAAATATTTATAGGATAACAGTTATTTTATTGCACTAGAGGGTAGAGTATTGCATATTGATTATATAACGCTAAACTTCTTCATAGAAAAGTAGTCTCTATATATAGTTTTTATGGGTTTAAGTGCTGTGGGTGGGCGCGACCCTATGAGACCGCTAGGGATTTGAAAGAATATGGCCGCGGTCACATGAGACCGTCAGGAGGATGAGATGTTAAAAAGCTGAAATATCATACACATAATATGGTCTTGTAATCTCTCTATTGGGTACTGAATGAATCGATATAATAAAAAATACTTCTGACATAGGCATGGAGATGTTAGGACAAAAACCACCCGCTTGCCAAGTGTGGCAACTTCATAAAATATTCCTCCTTTAAAGCAATCTATTAGAGGAGCCGATGTTCGGCAGTGGAGTTCAGTAGGCTGTAACGGAGATTTACAATGCCGATGCGCAATCAGCTCTATGTCAGCTCTATGGGCTTGTCTCCTCGTTACCAGTAAAAAGGGTGTCCGTATCTTGATTACTCAACCTTAGCTTTCATAGCAGCATTATGGTGATACTTCACGCGGTCTGTGTCGTCCTTCCCCAGCGCGTTTATGTGCAGCTTAGATTTACCACGTGCCGCTTACAAAGTAGAGCAGTGTAGTCTTTTATTAAAACTGCTTCAGTGACAATACACCCACAGTCGAAAATCGTCTGTTTCTTAATTTGTTTAATGCTTTTAATATTACTAATAATCCCCTTAACCACTCCAGGTAAGTGTAAAATGCTTGTAAAATCGAACCCACGACCGTAGAATTCGTGAGCCGCAACATTAGCGATCAGGCTATTGTCGCTTAAAATTCTAATATTTGAATATTCTAAGTTCTGCTTTTGAAGTCGATACTCCAATGACACTTCTTCGTTTCATTTGTGAGTTTATTGTAGTCTATAACGATAATGTCGTCAACGTCATCGGTTTGTATAAGTTCACCATATATCCTCTACCCATTACATTGTAGGAAAGACATACCTTAAGCGTAACGCTTGACGGGTGTGTCAATCCACTCACAACAAGGTACTTCTAGCGTAAACGACATGATAACACCCCCTTCCTACCTGCCTCATCTGCAGATTGTTCTGGTATTTCCCAGAGTCATCTCTTACGATACCCTCGGAACGAAGTAGAGGTGATACATTCTCTTACCTAGCCACCACACGAATACGCATCATATTTTACTATGGTGTAAAAGTGTACCCTTAACGGACGATCATGTATGAGTAGGATGTAAAGAATGCGAGAGAGAGAGGTATCAGGATCATGCCAAATAAAAGTCCCGACCACTACCTACCCCTCTGGGTGATAGGCGTGAGTGTTTATGTTATTATGTCGTTTTGTAAGTAAGAACATTTTCTTTATTAAAGTAAATATCTAATTGTTCTCTTATTAGGTGCAACGTAGCGGTGATGCTGCTCTGCGACGTGGTGTTGGACGGTGTAGAAATCGACTGGTCTATCCACGTGCCGCTCATGCTACACATAGTTTTCCTTGGCATGGACCACACCAGGTACTAATTTCCATATAGAGACATTCCTATGAGACATTTGATTATTGCAGTCGAACACAACAATATTTTTATATACCACTAGCAATCCGTCGCGGCTTCGCATGGGGGATTTCCGGAGCGTCGGCAACAGCGCCACCTACTGGGTCCAATTCAGTTTTTAAACCATCCAGGAATACACTCAAACACACATAAAAAATTCTACAGATTAATTTTATTATTCATTATATATATATATATATATATATATATATACATATACGTATACATATATATATACTATATGTATATATATATATATACGCGTAAATCGGGTTCGATCCCCCGCCGGCACCAATGAAATTGTTAATTGCAACTTTAAGTGCTGACTTACCACGTGCTCGGCGGTGAAGGAAAACATCGTGAGGAAACCTGCATGTCTGAGGAATAAGAAAAAATATTTCGAAGACATGTGAAGTTCGTCAACACGCATTTGAGCATCGGGACACTTCCTTGCCCTAAACCCTCTCAGGAATGAGGGGAGGCCTGAGCCCAGCAGTGGGACGTATACAGCGAGCGCTAACCATCTGAGCCGTCCGTCCGTCTGGAAAAAATAGGGTAACCGATGAATGGAATGCCGATGGCACTTATATTTTACAATTTTTATTTTTTATTTTACTTTAAAATATTATGAAATTGACCTATGAACAAATACTACTAATTTGAAATAAACTTACTAAAAAAGTAACAAAATTTTTGAACAAAATAAATAAATCAATTAAAGACTCGATTTAAAATAATACGTACCCAATTCGTTCCATCTCATAAAGTATCTCATCTCACATATCACATCACATCTCATATCACATCTCATAAAGTAAAATATATATTATGAAAATAAACTAAGATATGATGTAATAATTAACTGTTATCCATAGAACACTTGATAGTTTCCTCATCCTCGATTAAGAATACGAGTAAAATATCGTTACATTTTCACTCCTACAATTCCTTGTTACCAGCAAAAGGAGTGTCTATTTCTCATCACTTCACCATATTAATCACAGTAGGTAGCATTATTTATTTTATTCGGAACACCAACAGCATTGATCGATTTCACTTATTACAAATTTAAAGTCTATATAGCTATTAAAAGCTATCCGCATATGGAATTTCTCATGCTACTTTACGCTGTTGAAATCACGTCTTTACTCAGTGAAGGGACCTATTTGTACTAACATATTATTAGCACATATTTCCCAATAATATTTTTTTATTAATGTGGAACATTTCAGGGTTCTGTTTTAGGTTTGTAGTTATTTGACTGTAAAAAATTGAGCTGTTAGTATTATTATTCTATGATCATTTACACATACGCAAATACTATGCATTGAATTTGCATTGAATATTATGTCTAATTTGAATTTTGCGTATTTGATCAAGTTTAATTGAATTTTGACTTTGAATTTAAACGTGGTACGGCGTTTGTCGCACCCTTGCCAAACATGGTTGATGCAAAATGCTCGAAATACAAAAATTTGAAACAAGTTAAAATTAAACACGATAAAATCCACAAAATTATTGAACGAACTACTTTAGTTATAATTTAATTCAGGGTCAGAATCCCTAATCATTAGCTATTCGAATGATAAAAATTTAAGTTTGTAAACATGTTCGTTTATACAGGCTATTATAAAAACAATAATTGTTGTATCAATTTGTTAATTAGCTGTGTTTTTCTGTTTCTACGTTTATTTCATCATGCAAATGTTAAGTTATATAGAAAATACCTCACTAAAAATAACAAAACAAACATCTAACTGACCTACAAATGTATCGATTATTTCGTTCGACGATCAGAATGGCGTCCCCATTCTCGAATACTTGTTAAATTAAATGCACTAATATAAGAAGGTAATATAATCATTTCGCTATACGGTGTAACCTTGATATAACGAGCCTCAATATAACGAACCCCTGCATTTAACGAATTTTTCGAAATTTTCTAGAACTGCTTGTAAGAGCTAATGCAAAATACACCTCTGTAATACGAATACATTTATCAAACACCTCTTTCTAACGAATTTTCAATAATTGCAGAATATAGATAGAATTTATTATTTACCTCTATTTAACGTTTTTTCAACTTAGAATCTTGATTTAACGTATCCTATTAATGATTCCCACTTAATTCCATAATAAACCATGTTGTAAACGGTAAGAGTGACTTAGCTTAACAAAAGCATATTCACACTTTCCTTGTAGTTCACATTGTAGTCATTAGTAATTTATTCCAAAAACAATATAAATTATGTAGGAAAACTTAATTAAAACATATAATATTAAATAAAATTAATTAAGATTATTCCTAGTTACTTAAAATGTCTATAAATTAATTATTAATTAAATAATGCATCCAATATTACTCTTTATCAAACTCAATATTATCATTCACTGTATAGAAACTTTTTTCGGAAAAAAAGATTTTAACCTCTTTTTAAATATGTTAACATCATTTATGGTTTTTAGGTAATTAGGTAGTCTATTAAAAAGTTTTCTAGCTTGATTTCTAACGCTATGCTCAACGACCTGTACTTTTGATTTAATCAAAATGGGTAGGTATATATCTTTTCGTCTCGTGTGGTATTTTCTTGCCATTTCATTATCAGTTTCATATCTGTTCGGATGTTTGACAAGATCAGTAAGTAAAGTTAGAATATACAAAATATTCTCTACATAATTGCCTCTGGTGTATGCGAGATATTATTCTAATTGCTCTTTTTTGTAGAATAAACGCTTTAATTATAGGCATAACTATTTCCCCAAAATTTAATACTGTTAGAGTGTAATATAAAATTATTAAAGTAGTCGGATGAAAAGACACATGCTGGTAAATTATTGCACTCTGCAAACCGTTTGATTCGAATGTACGGTAACTCGATGACGTAGTGGTGGAGATGGATGAGCGTATGGTTGTCCGAAAGTGGGTGAGAGAGTGAGGTATTAAGTTATGCAATTCCTGCGCACAACCTACATATCCTGTAAACATTCGATATGGTTATGATTAATATATTTGTGCTAGGTGGATAGTGCACCAGCACTGCCGTCAACTATTGCTCAACTTGCTGGTGGCCGTGGCGGCCCATCATGACCATTTGACGGTGGCGAGGACTTTGCTCGCAAGCCGCTCAGCTCAGCTCGGCCTTGGAGTCACAGCACCAACACTCCTGCTCATACCGCACAACTTCACAGGTGAGCACCTACTTTTTAACTACGTAATATATCTATATGTATTAAAAGCAGAAAAAAAATTAAGTATATACATAAATTATTATTTTATTTTAAATCCTTGTTGAACAATATTTGGAATAGAGTATTTCTCTCTTCAGGAGTACATTTCAACCCAAAGTAATAATTATATTTTGTAATTGATAAGTATGAAGCACACGTTTGTTGACCGTGTCGTGTCATGACGGGGTAAGTATACCCACTGCCCCGTCCCGTGGGCGTCGTAAGAGGCGACAGAGGGACACAGACAAAGAGTTGAGCAGAAGCGTTCTTAATAACATCTAAAAAATTCAAAAATGCGGTTGCCATTTGCCTGCCAAGCGTTGCATTTATGGCAAATATCCCTTGTAAAACAATCGATGGGTGAGGCTTTGGTTCTGCAGTAATATTTTGATAAACTGCTACGATAACGGTTATTCATAATTGTTTTATTAAAAGTTTAATTTAATAAAGATATTTCATTTTTTTATTACTTTTTAAAGAAAAATGGTGAGCACATAATCATTTACATCTTTCCTCGATTAATATTTAAATTAAAATGTAACCTAAGTACTAAGATGGAATCCTTTATTACCATTAAAAAGGGTATCCGGTTCTCTACGGTCACCTTAGGAAAAACAGCAGCATTAAACTGCTATATTACGCTGGTATTCTGCGAAAACATAGTCCTTCCCCGGTCTAAACGACCCATTCATGTTACAACCATATAGCTGCAGCGCGCTCTACCACATGTATTTGAATTTTGTTTGTCTGATTTAATTTGAATAAGATATTGAAGATATCAATCACCCTATTCTCTAAAAAAATATAACAATTTTTTACGCTTTAAGACATTTATTATTTTTCTCAAATAGAATACAATTCACTTATCATGAGAAATAACAAGTTAATAATTAGATACCAAATACACTTATGAAGAACGGGAGGTACTTGCAAATGATCTGTTAAGTAGTGGATAGGCACAATCTTGTTACTTGTTGTGGGTAATAAGAAAAGTACGTGTACAATTACATATCGTTATTGAAAGAAAGTCTATAGCAATTACACATTGTTCATATTTGAAAGCAATTTAGATGGTATTTTTAAGTTAATGGTTATATTTTAAATAATTGGTAAAATCAAATTAATTAAAGAAATAACATTAGCTTTTTGAATAAGTTATTGGTATTTAAAATCGAGAAAAATCTTTTAAGATGTGGTGCTTTAATGTTTTTTTGTATAAAATAAAGGACTGGATCTCTTTTATGTTATTACGCAATTTATTATATAACTCTGCTCCTTCGTATATTATTTTTTTCTTCCGTAGTTACTTCGAGGTTGTCGTAGGCAAATGTTATTTTGTCGTCTAGTAATACGTTTTTGTATTAGTCCTTTCTTTGTAAACGTTATTTTAGAGTGTATATCTTTATTTAATAATTTATGTACTAATATGCATGTATTACATTTATAAATCTGTGATAGTGTCATTAATTTAGTTTCTTTGTAAATTTTTTCGATAGGAGTATGATAGTGATAATGGAATAATAGGTTGATTATTTTGTTTTGACATGTTTCAATTTGCTTTAGATTAGTTTTAGCCACAGTACCCCACACCTCTATTAGGTAGTCTAGATGATGTTTTATCATGGAGTTGTATATAATATATCTCACTGATTTTGGCAAACAGCGAATATTACCTTGAAGCGCACCCATGATAGAAGATAGCTTAGATCTTAATTTATCTAGGTGCGGCTGCCACGTTAAGTGTTTATCTAGGTGGAGTCCAAGATACTTTTCTGTACTAACTTTGGTTAAGGGTTCATTATTTATGCGGAGAGTTAAGCGATTTTCGGTTTTTTTTTTTGTTTTTAGCACTGAAAATAATGTAACTAGTTTTAGATGTGTTAACAGAAAGCAAATTTTCTTGGAACCATCTAGAGAGTGTATCCAAATCCTGCTGTGCTTGTTTAATGATCTACTCGATGTCCTTGCCAAATAAAAATAAACATGTGTCGTCAGCATATAGTATTATATCACTTGACAGGTTAAGGTTATGCACAACGTTTACATATATTATGAAAAGCAAGGGACCGAGAATAGAGCCTTGTAGTACGCCGCAAGGCTAAAGATTCGTGATTACGTTCGATATCACCGATCCTAACAATTTGCTGTCTGTTAGAGAGATATGGCCGTAACATGTCGTGGGCAGTATTCCGAATACCGATATCATATAGTTTTCGGGGAAGCAGGCTATGGCTAATTGTATCAAATGCCTTTTTCAGATCGATAAATATACCGAGTGCTGCGCGTTTTTCATCAATATTTTTTTTCAACTTTGTCACCAGGTCAATTGTTGCAGTTAGTGTATTAGATTTTGAGCGGAAACCATATTGATTATTTAATAAGAAGTTAATAGTTTTAAGATAATTATCTAAGCGTTTATAGAATATTTTCTCGTAAATTTTAGAGATAATTGGGAGAACTGAGATAGGGCGATAATTGCCTGGGTCGGTCTTTTTTCCTGATTTAAAAATTGGACTCACTTTTGCTACTTTAAGAGGATCGGGGAAGAATCCGTTTTGTAAACAATGGTTGATATTCATTGTTAATTTGTGTAATATTAAATTTTTGATGCATTTTATGGTTTTGCAACTAATTCCGTCAAAGCCCGTGCTAGTGTTTGGATTAAGTTTATCTATAATTTTACCTACTTCCTCTTTCGTAGTTGGAGTTAGATAGAGCAGTTCGTATGTACTAGAATTAGCCGTTTGAGAGCTAGGCTGTGTAAGTGGTTTTTCCTTATGTATTTTAATTTTATTTACTAAAATACAACCTATAGTAGCAAAGAAAGTATTGAGATAATTACATATTTCTTTAACATCTGTAATTGGACCCATTTGTGTATCTAGTTTTATAGGAGCAGAGCACGACTTTGTTTTGTTACCAGCTAAGTTACCGATCAGCTTCCACATCTTTAAAGGTTTTCTTTCACAGTTTTTGAAGGCTTTGTAATAGTAGTTATTTTTAGTACTCTGAATTTGCTCAGTCACGGTATTTCGTAGGGAAATAAAGTCTTTTCTTATTGATTCGTCGTTGGGATTTTTTTTTTGTAAATGGACCATAGCTGATTTCTTTTGGTTATCATTTTAATTATGTCTTTATTAATCCAGTCTAATGCATTTTAAATTTTGAATTTCGGTATTCTATGTTTATTTACTGCTTCTTTTATTATATGTTCTAGGCTATTGTAGTCATTATCGGATATATTCATTATTGAACTTTCTACTTTAGAGTATATACTTGTGTAATCTAAGGTATGATACTTTACTTTCTTTTTCGTTTTCGGTTTATAATCGCCAATTTCTAAATATATTTGCTTGTGGTCTGACATTGGCGATTCTACTATAATCACATGGAATTTATTATTTTTCAAATTGCATGAGACATGGTCAAGAATTGATTTTTTGTCGGTGTATCACGGGTACTAAATTTTGCATCAATTTTGTTTAGGATTGTGTATCCATTTTCTAACAGTATATTTGTATAGTTATTAATTGATTGGTTAGGATTGAGCAGATCGTAGTTAAAATCGCCAAGCACTAAAGCTCTTTGCCTCCTTATCAGTATTCCTCCAAAACCCATTGTTGTCTGATTTTGGGGTTTTATATATAGCTCCAATGTCCAACGAGTATTCATCTAAATGAACCCATAAGTAGTGATTATCCTCTTTACAAAGATCTTCTATGTAATTGTGTTTTAAGCAGTCGTGGACAAATATGGATACTTCACCTTCACTGGCATTTTCTCTTATGTTATAATAATGGGTGTAGTTTGGTAATTTTAAACTTTTGGCTTCAGATTCTGACTTGATCCAGGTTTCTGATAGTATAATTACATGCACAAGACTGTTTATGTTATATTGTATAATGCAGTTTAATTCATCGAGTTTTCCTGGCTTCACTATACTTCGTGCATTAGCGTAGAGAAATTTTAAGGATTTAGTGTTTTTTATTAAGGTAGTGTATGAATCAGTTTCTTCTTGCGTAGTGTTTGGCGATGTGTCGTCTGTATTTTGCATTATTAGTTTTTTGGCTGGATTTTAGTAATTTTAGGTGTACCTTTGACATATTTTATCGTAAGGTTTTTTTTCACCTCCATCTAGTCGCCGTTTCAGTTCGTCTCTCAAATTACTTCGATACTTTTGTTGATAATGTGTCTCATCAGAGTAGATTTTAATATTGTCAGATTTTATGTTGGACCTTTTGTGTAGAATTGATTTTGCTACTTCGGATGTCGAGAATATAACCTTTATAGGTCTGGATTTATCGGGATTATATTTACCTAAACGGATAGTTTTCGTCGGTTCTATGCAATCTGGAACAGCCATTTTTATTATTTTCTTTACTTCTTCGCTATCGTGGATGTTTCTCTCTTCGGAGTTTGAGGATCGTATCTCTTTTATCTCTCGTATGATAACGTTTTTCTCCCTCTGAGATCGTTCGTAGGTCTCCGATATTAAATCTTCATAGCTAAACAAAGGCGCAGGTATCGCAGAAGTCGATCCAGATTTTAGTGATGCTATTTCATTTTCGATAGTCTCCACTTTTTTCTGAATGTTAGCTCTGAAACCTGAGATGCAAGCTAACTCCGATTTTATTTTGACCTGTTCTGAGGACAAAAGATCAGTTGTTATCTTGATCAAGCTGATCTCTTCCTTTATTGCTGAGACATCTTGAGCAATTCTGTGAAGATTTTCAGTTTGGGTTTTAGCCAAATCCTTTATAAGCGACTCGATTTTAGCTTGAAATTTATCAAATTGTACACTAAAGTCATCATGCGGCTGTTTTCTTTTGGCGCGAAGAGTTATCTGGTTGGTGTTATCAGACAGGGTAATCTTTCGCAAATCTGGTTGTGAACCACTAGTCTTTTTAAGCTTATTAACACTACTTGTGGTTGCTATTGAATCTCTATTGCCTTCGTTGTTA